TTGCCTGCCTGCCTGCCTGCCTTCCTTCCTTCCTTCGCAGCTTACAAAGATTAAAACACAGAAAACCCACCACATTTGACCCCTGGCATCCAAGGATAAACAATAACTCCACTCACTGAAAAAACACATCAGTACAACTGGGCTCATCTACCCACCTGACCCACATGCCTGGAGAAACAGCCAGGTCTTCAATGCCTTGCAAAAGGTTAACAGGTTTGGGGCCATCTGAATCTCCTGAGGGATGGTGTCCCACAGAGCAGGTGCTGCCACTGAGAAGGCACTAACCTGGGGTCCAACGAAGTGGCATTGCTTGATAGAAAGGACCCTTGCCTTCTCTACTAGATCTGGTTGGACAAGCAGAAATTGATGCTGGACTTGACCATGCATGGGACACAAGACCAGGGCTGTTCTTCAACACATTGTTATCTTGCAAGAGACAACCCTTGGAAGAGGGGAAAAGTGAGTCCAGGCAACAGTGTCTTGATCCTGGCCAAATTCTCTTCAGTGGCATTCAGGGGTGAGTTGGGGCTGCTAGAAGAGCCTTTGCTGCAAGTACAAAAGCTGTTGAAGAGAAGCCCAAGCCCCGGGAGTGAGCTCTGACAATGATTCAGCTTTGGGGTGCAAGCTTCTCTTGTTGGGTAACTGCCAGATCAAACTCTTCCCTGGCAGGACAACCAATGGCAGTGTGATGGATGGATGGAAGGAAGGAAGGAAGGAAGGAGTCACAGATTGCATTCATTAATTAATTCGTTTGTACGTTCAGTCATTCATTTGGGAATCATGGCACCATAAGCTTTGAGAATGCCTGCTTTACACGTGTGAGAAAAAATAAACTTCCAGAGAGGCCGTATATTTTTCCAGCAAACCGTAATAACTTCAGTATCCAGTAGACTCCTGTTACTCAACTATAGTAAACTGTAAGACTTTGGGCAAGTGATTTGAGCAGATGATGGATTGGAAAAAAATGATAATGCTTGGCAAGAGTGAGAGAAGAAAGGGAAGACAACAGATAAGGTGAATGGATGGGTTCAAAGTGGTTATTGGAATGTGCTTGGAAAAGCTATGGGTGAATGTTGGAGAAAGGTTGTGATAGTGACCATTTCTCCATGTATTTATCAGAGGTTGAGCTCTACTCATATGGAATTAACTGCATAGCTACAATCCAGATTGTAGAAGTTCACTATGCCTAAAAGATTTTCTCCTACAAACATTGGCATCTTGCTCCTCTTTCTAAAAGACATTATCCTATGTGGTAGGTTTTTGTTTTTTTTTAATATCCCCAATTATTTTTGGAACAGAAATACTGCTAAGCATATTTATGTCTTGCCAATACAAATTTTAAAGGGCAATTTATATTTTTTCATAACAAGATTATATTCCAGTCTGAGGAACTCATTAATAAAGTTTTAATCCACAGGAGGCTTATGTTTTATTTGGATTTGTTTAGCACCAGTTCATTTCTTTTCTTGGCATGCCCCCTCTGAACTTGCCGAGCACGAGACCCAAATCCCAGGGTTTGAAGTGATTCTGTTATGTACTTCTGGCTTGGAGAGACACACAACAAGACCAGCAACTTTGCATCACCACCTAAAAAGAATGAAGAAGACATACATTTTTACTGATTTTATTTCAGGACATTCCATATGTTATCTGGTTGAATTGCCCAAATGCCAAACCTTGACACCAGAAAGTTTGGGAGATAAATATAATATAAACATTTAATAAAGCAAGGTTTGAATCATTCCTGTCTGATGAAGACAGTGTTTTTCAACCTTGCTGGCTGGGGATTCTGGGAGTTGAAGTCCACACATCTTAAAGTTGCTAAAGTTGAGAAACACTGGACTAAGGAATGCAAAGATCAAGTTCTTAAGATCTCTTAGTGGAAGCTTTACAACTGAATTTGCAAGTCTGTGTTTAAAGGGTGTAGTTTTGCAACAGCAAGGCAGTTATAAGGACTATTTTATACCTTACATGAGGCCCATGTTAAAAGTATGAACAGAAAACCAAAGCAAATTGAAGTAAGAGAAGGACAGCAGAATAATTCTAGGACACCAGAATAATAACAAATCACCAGATCCTGATGGCAGCCACCTGAGAGTTCTCTGAAAACTTAAAAGATGAAATTGCTGATCTCTTAGCAAAAATGTGTAAGGATCAGTACCAGAAACTGAGAGCTAGCCAATGTATAACCAATTCTGAAAAAGGGACCCAGGAAGTCCAGGAAATTATAGAAGAGTCAGCGTAACCTCAGTTTCAGATAGGTTAGTAGAAATGGTAATCAAACTAAAAATCACAAGCCTTGCTGAAAAAAAATTGACATGAATCCTGCTTCATCAGGGTTTTTTAAAGCATCAGTAGGCCTGTGGATGGATGTTACTCTGTTGACATAGTGTATTTGGATGTTCAAAAGCTAAGTTTTTCATTAAAAGCTCTTAAGTAAATTTAGTAGCCATGAGATAGGAGAATCTGTGCTTTTATGGATTGTTAATTGGTTAGAAAGCAAAGCAAAGACTAGGAATAAAGGGCACATTTTTCAATGGAGGGAGTAAGAAGCGGAGTCCCTGAAATTAGTGGTTTTCAGCTTGTTCATAAATGATCTTGACTCAGGGTAAGCAGTGAGCTGCTCAAGTGTGCAAATAATAACAAATGGTAGGGAAAACCAAAAGGGTTTGTGAGGAGCTCTAGAAGGATCTCTTTAAGTGGCTAAATCATTAACCAAATGGTAAGTATAAAACAGCTATAAAAGTTTCAGAAGAGGGCAAGCAAAATGATCAAGGCATTCAAACACCCTCTGTATGAGAAACAACGAGAACATTTGGAACTATTTAGAAAAAGCAAATGGGGGTGGGGGGAGGCATGACTGAGGTCACACATAGCATGGAGAAAATGGCCAGCAAGATTTTCCCCCTTGCCGAAAACTCTAGGACCAGCAAGAGTCAAAGAAGTTGCTTGGAAGGTTTAGAACAGTACTTCTTTATACCATGCATAATTACCAGAAGGCATTGTGATGACCACCAACATGGCAGATTGGATAAATGTATGGACAGGTCTGTCAAGGGCCACTCATCTAAAGAATCCAATATTCCTCCTGATTGGTGGCAGCATGTCTCCATGCACCAGCTGTCGGGGAGAACAGGAAAGGAGTATGTCTACATCTGCTTGTGAACAGTCCAGAAACATCTGTTTTGGCCACTGTGAGAAATGCAGTGAGGGATTCAGAGGCACCTTGGTCTGATCCAGAAGGGCTATTTTTTAATTCTGATAACCATCTCATTTTACAAAGAAGTAATAACTTCATATTCCTTGTTTTCATTCCCAGTTCCTCTGCAAGGTCCCCCTGTTATACAGTGCAATACAACACAACACAACACAACACAACACATGTATAATGAGAGTTTTCATGTGGACTGTACTTGGTTTATGTCTGTCACATGTTCAAGTAATAGGAATCTTGCTAGGAAAATAAAAAATGAACATCTAGAGGATCTAGTCTCTCTCCTTGCTTGAAATAAGGATTTCGTATACTATCAATAAAATCACCTGTTTCTTGAAGTCACACTTCTGTATCAGTTATATATTTGAAGATCAGTATAGAAATACAACATAGTTATAATTATATAATTATAATAAGTATATAAGTAAGTATAAGATAAGTATTTTATTGTAACAATCTATAATCACCTATGGCATCCTGTAGTAAATGCGTAAGTTTGCTATTTCGATATGGAATATGGGAGTGCTGTTCTGATATGGCACCAAGTACATCTGCTAGAGCAGACAAGCTGCGATTAATGAAGGAAGTCTCTCTCAACAGTGACCCAGTTACACCAGACATACCTAGAACAGTAATCATAAAAAACACATCTGAAAACAAAAGTAATGTTTTTTCCATGCTTTTACACTTTTAATTCCTGCATATGCTACATTTGATTTTTGCTTGCTGAACGGACAAAAGATTGGAGAAGACTCTTGAGAATACCGTGGACAGCCAAAAAAACAAACATATGTTTCATCGAGAAAAACAACCCAGAGTTTTCACTTGAGGCACAAATAATCAGACTCAAACGGTCCTACTTTGGACACATTATGAGAAGACCTAGCTCTCCGCTGCTAGGCAAGGAAGGAAAGAGAACAAAAGGATGGCTAGCAGCAAGGCAGATAGACTCAGTTACAGTAGCGATCAGTGACCCATTGGAAGAGCTGAAGAACCAGGTGAGGAACAGATCATCATGGAGAAAACCTATCTATGTGGTCACTAGGAGTCCACAATGGCATGATGGCACATAATCAGTCAATGGAGAAGGGATGAATACAGCTGAGGAACCTTTGTGGCAGGAAACAGGAAACATTTATTTACACTCTGGTTTTACATGAGGTTGAAGAGGTAGACATATAATCCATACCATCAGAATGGAGAAGGACTTTTAAGGCCATGTTAAAATCTGTGAGATGAGTTGCTGCAACTTTTCCCGGCCAGTTGTCCTTCTTATGGGACTGCAACTCCCAGAATTCCCAGACATCAATGACCATCCTGCTTAGTATGGCCTAACTGTATTCTGAGAACTATAATCCCACCATACTTAAAGAAAACCAGATAGATAAAGGGTTAATCTGAGTAATAGAAGATACATAAAATTACTGTAAAGGATTCATGCAAAACACAAACCTTATAAGTACAGCAACTTTTCTCTCTACAAAATCCTCACTTTGGAATTGTTTTTGATGAAAAAGTGGAAGAGGAATTTTAATAAAGTCCACAAATATTTTAAAACATATTTGAGATATATAGATATAAATGTAAAGACAAAATAATAACAATGAATAGAAGGCACTTTGTTGGTAAGGTAATACTGTTAAATTGAGAGGGATTATGCATACCTAAAATAAGTAGCCTAGATTTAACTTTTAACTTTTTTATTTTTTTGCACAGAAGTCCAATTCCCACATTAACTTTTAAGGCAGTATAAACTAAACTATTTCATTTGAATGACCCAAGTGCTCCAAACTAGCATTTACCACATGAGGGAAACGCTGGCAATCAATATTGCTCTGATGTAATATACATCACATTCTCACACTTCAATAATCAATTCAAATAAAACATTCAGCTTGAAAATTCAACTTTAGTAAAAGTGATCTTGTCACAGCCAAAATAGGACACAGTTTGTGGTAGAGAAGATCATACTAAGATTGCTCTCAATGTTAGAGAAGTAAAATATTTGTTTTCCTTTCTCTCTTCAGCAAAGTCCTTCTATAATCCTAATTTGGAGCATAATTGCAATCCTAAATCTGTGGAGTTGGGAAAGAGCTCCCCTGAACACAGCTGGATTTAATTCTGAATAAATGTGTTTAGGATTACTGTGTTAATCTATTGATTATATAAAATGTTAATATAGGCAAATGGGTATTAATGCTTGCAGTTAATGACGCTAAGTGATACCTCCCCACCAAGATCTGGGTTTTCATAGGAACAGACCATCGAATGGTTCTCATCCGTGAATGATGGCAATGCATAATATGGTTCAACTGCATTCTGTTGTAAAAAATAAACTTTAAAATCTTTTGAAGGTTCACTTTAAGAATGTATTCTTAAAACAGTGACCAGAAAAAAAAGCACTTGGCAGCCACATAAAGTGTTCTTTTATAATCTAGATTCAGTTTTCAAAACATTATTTCTGGAAGGTTACATTTGACTAAGTGGTTTTTATTGGTAAGGAAGCTTGTCCTTTAGGAAATGATCAGGATTTGCGGGGGAAACCCGTGTTTTAAAAAAGGAAGAAAGTATTTGGGGAGGGTAGAAGCCAAAGAAAACAAGAAATTAATAAAACAGAAAAATAAAATCCATTAATATTCCTCTTAGTATTCTTTTCCATAAGAAGGCTAAAAAAGCTTTATTCACACTGATTGATTATGTGCCATCAAGTCATTTTCGACTCCTAGCAATCACATAGATTTTCTTCATGACAATCTGTCCCTAACCTGGTCCTTCAGGACTTCCACCATTGCACTCTTTGCCCCTGTAACTGAGTCTATCCACCTTGCTGCTGATTGTCCTCCTTCTCTTTCCCTCCATCTTTCCCAAAATTAGAGCTTCCTCCAGAGGATTAAGTCTTCACAAATTAAGTCAATTTTAACAGATATGTGGTATATTTAAATTTCTGCTTAAAGAGCATAATCTCAAGGTGCAAGCACACCTAATGGATTTAACGTGGTAAATGTATTAGCACTGCAGGATTGTTAGCCATAACATGAACATAGCTTCCCTGGCTGGGCATCATGGCTTAGAAATGAGAAAGCTATCTTATTGGGAAGATTTATTCATCCAAGGGGCTCCCTCGCCCCTTGCATCTCAAGATGAAGAGATAGGCCTATTGTATATATGAAAAGTGAACTCGTTCCATGGGTGCCTATCTTCATATAGCAAACCCGGGGCTAACTACCTACCAAGAATAGCAGGGCTAGAAGAATGATGAGGTTTGCCAAAGTACAACCATTTTTCAGTCAACAAAAGCACAAAAACAAAATGGGATTCAACAGAGGTTGAGCACATTCAACAAACTCAAAATGCTGACTATTTGGGGGTGTGGAGAGAAAATGGGGAGGGGCAGATAGAATGAGGTTCCTTGGACTGGCAATAAGAAAGGTTCACTTGGCAATGAAAGCTTATACTAATTTATACCAACTATCATGCAGTGTGGCACCAGCATACTATAGCTGACTAAATACTAAATATTCAAAGGTCAGGAAATATAATGTTCTTGGCCAACTCCCTTGTTTAGTTTTTAAGGACCAAGGGTAAAGCAATACATGGGTGCTTGTAAAGAAGGCAAAAGATAGGTAAAGCAGATTGTTTGCTGAGTTCTAGCATTTGCATGCCACCAGCATAACTCAATTTTTAATAAGACAACAAAAAAATATCAGCACATTCACTTTGAAGCTTTGTCAAAAAAAAAGTTAGGAGGGCAGTTTGGAACTCTTTGACTTTTTTCAGGAGAATAAGTATTTCATAAATTTTAAGCAACGAATGTGAGCATATTCTACAGCAGTAGCCAGCAAATGCCCTTTTTCTGCCTCCTGGCTTCATCATGAGCATGGTGCTAAAATTGGCTTCAAACTACTAAATAAAGGTGGTGACATTTTCAGTGGATTTCAGAAGCAGAAGAAAAATGTCAAACTTCCAAGAGACTTAACAAGCAGTTTAATAACCACAACCTCAGAACAAATGGAGGGGGAAAGGCTTTCTCCCACCCCTGATCCTTTCCTATCCACTGATACTAAAACAAATGTGGTTTGGGGCTGCTCAAACATTGCCAGCTCCCGTTCTCCAGAGAGCTGAGCCTGACATCAAAAATCTAACTTGATAGATTTCTGATGTGATCCTTGGAGCGTTTATTTGTTGCACTTATCTTCTAAAACTAAGTGCAAACTGGCCCACGTGTAGGGTTGTAGCTTCATAAGCACAGGACTGTTTTGTTCCAAAGACTAGCTTACCAACACATTCGCTACCAGCTAAATCCACCAACTGAAGTTTTGTTCTCATTCGCTTCAGCCTCTCCACAGATTTCCTGAAAAGCTGTGCTGGTGAAGAAACTCTAGAAGAGTTAGGAGAAGTGAAGAAATGTTGTTTACCCAGCTTTTGACTAGAATGGTCACCTGCCCAGGGAGGAGCTGGATAGTAAGGAAACAAAATAGTTTATTTTGAACCTGCAAAATAAAACATACAAGAGGGTTGGATTATTTCAAAATAACTGCTGAGCTAAGACTAAGGATGGATTCAGCTAATTCAGACTAGTTACCTGACCCATGCCTTGGTTCCATCTTAACTTCTATAGCATATGTCCAGAAATTGCAGTTGGTGCAAAATGTTAGCAGCTAGACTAATAACGAAAGGTTAGACACAGGGATAATATGTTTGTCCAAAAAGGTATGGATGCTTGCCAATTGTTTACTGGGCACAATTGAATTTAAAAGCCCTAAATGCCTTAGGGTGTGACTATCTAAGCAATCTGTCTCATTATGAACCTGTCCATTGGTTAAGATCAGGAGAGGCTCTCTTGAAGATAACTCCACTAACAGAGCTTAATACATGTAGGCAAGGCCCTTCTGTTGCATTGTTGTTGGGCTATGGAAAATACTCCCTTAGGAGTTATATTTGCCCCCACTCTTTCAGTGTTTAGGAAATCTGAGGTGTCTACAGGATCCTATGCATTTAGCAGCATCATGCTATCACAGTGCAAGCTCCAGCCCTTTTATAGGCACATGCCACATCATGTCATGCAGGAAAGGGGCAGAGTACAGGTAGTCCTCATTTAATGACCACTCATTCAGCAATGGTTCGAAGTTACAATGGTGATGAACATAGGTGGTACTTATGATTGGTCCTTGTAATTGCGGCAGTCACAGCATCCCTGAGATCACATGATCGCGATTCAGGCGCTCGGCAACTGGCCTGCAATTACATTTCAGCTTCCTGCAGTCATGTGATCATGATCTGCAACCTTTCTTGCCAGCTCCCCACAAGCAAAGTCAATGAGGAAGCTGGCAGGAAGTTGGAAGTCACAGTCATGTGAGGTCCTTGCTTAATGACCTGCACAGTCCTTGCTTAATGACAGCAACTGGGACTACCAGAACTGCTGTTGCTACATGTTGTCGTGCTTAACAACCGTGCCGCTTAACGACAGAGTTTCCAGTCCCAATTACCATTGTTAAGAGAGAACTACCTGTATAACATCACACATGAGATTTTATTATGGTTCTATTTTTTGTATCTTAGAAGGATATCATAAAAAAGCTTCTTACCAAAATCATCCTCTGAGGCAGGCTTGATGGTTATTGTCAAAGTTATCACAAGGTGTGAACGAGATGAATCAGTGTGTACAAGGGTTGGGTGTTTGGCCCTCAACTGTAGCCCCTGAGTAACAAGCTCCAAGAATTCCACAACATCTTCAACAGGTCTTACAATATATATAAATAAAATAATAAAATGGTATTTAAAAAAAGTTAGAGCATCTAGAATTATTTTCAGCAACATATTCAGAGGGGGAATACACAAGGATAAAGCTTACAAATACAATAGTGCATTCACAATGAATTGTGGAAGCCATTTTTTAAAACTTCAATGAAACACAGTCAATAATATAACAGTTGATCTCTAACAAGCCATTTACTGTTGCTTGAACCAGTGTCACAGGAAAGCTTCAACAATCCTTTCAGTTTCAGAATGGTTAACAAAACTAACAGACTGCAGTCTTAGTGAAATTAATGCATTTTTCAAGAAATGAAACAAGGGCTATGAAGAGAAAATCTCAGCTTGATCCAAGGCCGGTCAGCTGCTGAGGAAAGAACCCATCACACTCCATGCTGGTCTAAAGCATCCTGCCCAGATTTGTTCTTGATTCTGGAGCATGGATTGGGGAAAATGGAGCCTTACTCGGTATTATCTAGCACAAAGAAAAGAAAACCTAAATGCCTGCTGGTATCTAACTTTTTCCCCCCCATCAGAACAGGATAAAATTGCACGAAAATTAGATGATTATGAGAAGACATGAGCCAATGTTCATAGAAATTAGTACAGGGGTGAATAGATTGCTTAATTGTAACTGTAGGTCTTTAAGCAATTATCAGTGCATTCATAGAAGCTCCTGTATGTTGCCCATGTCAGGAACCATCTCAAACTGAAGATGCTTTGGCAGAAATCATCTCTTCAGCATCCATGTGCACCGAGGTTCCAGTCTCTCTTCTCCATTCCTATGTACTAACTGCTTTATATTTAAAAATCCTCTTGTATGTCTTTGGTTTTTATTAAAGATCAAAAACAGTAGACACATCTTTCGCAACTTATCCCAAAGTTAAAGTAAACTACTGGGTGGAATTTGCAAAGGAAGCAGGTTTTGGCTAAACATGAAAACATACTTCTTAATAGAATAGCTGTTTAACAGTGGAAAGACTGTTTCAGAAAGTCAGGATTCTTCCTTCATTAACCATACCGAAATAGAGGTTGGGAGATTATCTGTCATGGATAATCTGAGCAGGGGATCAGAGATGATTATCTCCACAATCCTTTCTCCTCTTGTCTCAGGTACAAAAATGCTCTTGACATGGCGGCTGAAGTGAAGGGAAACACACTGCCTGTGTGCATGTCTTCTGAGGAGAAAACAACCCAATTTTTCTGAAGCAGAATTAACAGTTATGCTTTATTGCTTTGGATGGTATTTGAGGAGAACACTGAGGATTTTCCATGCTTTATATATATAAATTCATTACAGATGAAACATTATTCAAACCCCCAATGGTACATTTTAGACCCTAGAGAGTCATGAATGTTTTACTTCCTTTGGGTTGGGTTTTCACAGTTAAACTTTTCGGTATAAATTGTGCATTTATTGCTACAATTTTTCTTAAATGTATGGAATTTAACACATACTGTATGTGTTTTGGGCACAAAATTTTTTTTGGAAAAAACGTTTGTTTTTCTTAGTGGTTTTCCCCTCGAAACTATACTTTAAAAAGACTCCAGTACAGGCAGGACCTTCTGAACAACTGGGGGGTGGGGAAGAGAGAGATCTCTTTCTCCTGTCAGTTTTATACCACATGACACAAGTTCTAGCTTGCAGCCAGTTCTTCTTCACTGGAATTTCAGAGCACCAATAATAATTATGAATTATCTTGCAAACTTCTGGAATTTTAAGTATTAGTCATCAGTTGTCTGGGCGGGGTGAGAGGTTGACTGTTTTGCTGAGAAGGAGGATGACTAAAATGCAAGGGACTGTTTTAATTCAGCCTCTGCAGTCCATGCGTTTTGTCATCTTTCCTTGAGTTACTCAGAAGGAAGGAGCCTTCTTTGCTCTGCAGATTCTCCTCACCCATTTAATTAATTCATTGTGCAACAGGATTTAGTCACTACCAACCCCAGCAAACAAGACAGACATTTAAGAGTCACTTTGAGCTAAACAACCAGCATAGAATAATGAAATGGTTTAGAAGGGGAAAGCAGAACCTTTAACAGCTTGATGCTTGCACTGGGCTTTGACTGGCATATTGATAGCCACTTTCCAAAAATGCAACTTTTGCCTGCCGAAGTTAGGGTGAGTGTAAGGGGGGTGGGGGTTAAGAGATGCAAGATATGCCTCAATCCTCTGCAGTGGTTTAAAGGCAGTGTTTCTCAACCTTGGCAACTTTAAGATGTGTGGATTTCAACTCCCAGAATTTGGGAGTTGAAGTCTACACATTTTAAAGTTGCTAAGATTGAGAAACACTGGTTTAAGGCACCAACTTTGTTCCTTAAAGTCCTTCCCACCCATTCCCCTAAAACTGGAGAAATAGGCCAAAATTTGCGGTATTGTCAGCAAAGGGAAGCTGCACTTTTTTTACTTTAGAAGATGAATCATTTCAATAATAATCTGGCTTTTATTTATTCAGAGTTCAGATGTTGATTTTTTTTTAAAAAAACCCTCTGAAGTCTCAAAATCTTATTTCCCTTTCAAATTAATCATGCATTTATTATTTAAAATTAAAAATTATCATTTTTAATGATACAGAATCCAGATCCCCTCCCCGCTAGCCTTTAAATATAAAAAGAAAATTTACTGCCCCTAAAATATCAGCCTTAAGGAAATGTTCAAACCATGATTGTGGAAAAAACAGTTAAAAAAAAAGTTCTCGCTTTTCTGTTTTGTGATCAGGGTATGCAGATTATAAAACCAGATGGAGAAAATTATGTCTGCTCAAACTCCCCCACCCCCAGTGCATTTGGCATATTTTTAAATCAAGGCTTTTTTGGCAATAACAGAGAAACACATAAACAAAGCTCCAGTGGTTTGCTTATGTTAGTAAAACCCACAGACAAAAATACTGTCTTAAATTATCTCCTTCGTGGGTGCAGTATATTATAGTTTATAAAGGAAATAAAAGAACTGTTGTGTCTGAGTTCCATTTCCCTCTCTCCCATCCTCTGCCAAACAGTACAAGAAATGCTTGCACTATGCAAAGCAACTTTAGGAGCTGAAGGAAGAGCGAAAAATCTCAGTTCCACTGGGAGCAGACATAGTCAGAATTTACTTTGGAATTTAATGTAAGAAATAGCTTCCATGCAGCAAAATTCTTTTCAAAACCTGTAGTTCTCCTATACTGAATGTCCACATATAAGTAAAATTGTACACTGTACCCCACCATCACCCCAAGGCACATTGTTTGAAAAACTTTAGGTGGAAAAGTTCTCCCTGTCAGCGATTGTCTCTGAGTACTATTGTGTCCTTTATTGCTACACATGATGGTACTGTATTGTTTTTAATCTTATAGTCAAATGTATTTTAATTCCGGGCCCTAATGAGATGTACTGCATGACAATGCACTTACAAGAGCCCTGACAATGGAAACCCTGATAAAACTGGCTCCTGCATGCATAAAGATTTCCAAACACATCAGCCATATATGTTTGTGGAGTCCTTGGGGTTCTCTGAGCTTGGTTCTTTTCTTGCAAACGTTTCATGACCCAGCTAGGTAACATCTTCA